GCTCCATGGTGATATCGCCCCTGGGGAAGAGATATGCAAGTCATAAGATTGCTTGCGACTTGCACTTGAAATAAACTCTTGACTTGATATAAACTCAAGAATATATCTTTTATTGAGATTAAATTTTTTAGTTGATACGGTGACGGACGATCCCTTTCCGAATTGATGTCTGCTGCGTACGATCTTTAAAGGGATAAGCTATACGCATATTAGTGATTTACCCCTCTTAGTAACGTATCTAATGTTTGTTTACAAATACAATATTAGTATACGTTTAACAACACCATAAAATGATGTTTACCACCCAATTAGGTATACGGTTATGGCGAGTAGTTATATAATCTGTTAGTGCTTAAACAGAAAATGTGTGCACTATGTGTCATTACCGGATCAAGTTGGGCCTACAGAGGTTTCTTAATGGACCAAAGAGTGCATTACTCATATAACCACTCGTATGAAAGGGAAATTAACGATCTTGATAAGAACAATATTATATTTATTTATTGTGGCTACATACAGTCATGTACAATGTTTTAGACTTTGAGTTATGTTGTTAGGAAATTAACTGGAAGTGATCAAATCAGTTTGAAAACAATACAATGAGTTATACGGATATCATGATGATTGAATCGATTTGAAATTTTCATATCGAGTTTAGAAAGATAAATCAGATAGGTATTTTAGATCAATTATCACAATATTAAAAGTGAAATTTTGTGCATTATTTAGAAACAAGTACCTAACAAATAAAAAACCAAAAACAAAGCAGCAACAAGTACAGACAGCCACACACATGTTGAGCATCCGAAACTATCAAATTACCTTTATGTTATTTTATATAAGATTCACAATTGATGCGTTAGGATTTTTTAGGATAAAAATTCCATAAGAAATTACATTCACGAAAGTGAATGGTGTAGAAGATTTGGTTTAAGTTTAATCTAAGGTGTAAGCAAGCAAAGGTAGGTATAGCACGTATTTATTCGGCGTCAGCTGTATTCGCGAATCTAGTTAAACTCAACTTACAATTAACATCAGGTGGGATAGTTACTCCTTTTAAAAAACTATGGAAATATTACACTTCTTTTTCGACTGTTACACGACTTAAAACAATAATTTAGCAGGGAGTTTCGTAAAACCCTTTCTATCATATCTACCTATGTCGAATGCTATATTCATAGATCAAAGAGAAACAAAACAGAAATTCGCGGTCATTAAACCAATAAAATAAAATAATAACTCAACAAATCCTTCGCGCAAAACTTTAAAACTTAACTTTGCGTTTTCGTTTGCCGCTCCGTAGCCGTAGCGAGCATTTGAACCAAATGATTGCTACAGATTTTCAACTCCACGCATAATGAATGCGGTTAGCGTGGCGTAGCAAAATTATTGTTCCAGCTAAGATAAGTACAGTTAAGATTCCAGCCTATTACTCCTGGTTCATCACACACGACTCCAGGTCCATCACTCACCGCTCCCGGTCCGTCATATGCAAGCTTCCCCCGCCTGTTCTGTGGTTTATCCCGCCTGCTAATATTAGCAGAAATGTAGAGGAACTGAACGTTAATTAAAAAAATTAAAACTGATCAAGTTCGAGTCCGACTTACAGCCGTAGCAGGGCTCCACGTGTGGTTCTCCACGAAAAATCAGGACCAAATTTCTTGTATAGAAGCTCAGTTTAATTTATTCTTTCTGGCTGCTCGAGATGGATGTACCCACTAAAACTCCGGGATGTGCCCTCTCCTTGCTGGTGACGACGACGTGGGCTCCTAGTTTGGAATCAAACACCCCGCAGGAGTCCGTACCTAACTGCTTATAACTTTCCCAAAAAGCAGCAAAATACCTCTCATCAGTCATTTTGCCTTATATCTGGCAAGGTTCGTTAGCAGTGTTGCCAGGCCCGTTTTTAAAAATCGGGAGGCGTTAAGGAAAAAATAAGCAGATGTTTGGAAAGTGCTACAAGAAAAAACAGGCAGAGGCGTACCTACTTTTTAACACGCTTTTATTAGTTTCACCTGTAAGTTTGTTTGTATGTAACTGTCTCGTTTGGACTCGGTTTTGCCCAACTTTAATCGATCAGATCTACTTTAAACTTGGCAAATGTATGTAGATTAGATGAAAATAAAATAATATGGTACTGCCGAGCTGATCTGGTGATGGAACTGGAAGGTGGCTGATGGAACCTCGGACTGCCTACTAGTAAACATATCGAGTATGAGCTCATTAGATCCGTCTTACCACATTCTGTTCATTTCTCCTGATGAGGAAGACCTGATGATGAACTGGAAGGTGGCTGATGGACCCTAGACTGACTAGTAAAAGAATCGAGTTTGGGCTCATGAGATTCATCACGACAACACAATATTATTGTACCATCGAGCTGATCTGATGATGGGACAGGAAAGTGGCGGATGGAACCTTGGACTGCCTACTAGTAAATATATCGAGTTTGGGCTCATTAGATTCGTCTTAACACATTCTGTTCATTTTTCCTGATGACGAGGACCTGATGATGGACTGCAAGGTGGGTGATGGACCCGGGACTGCCTACTAGTAAACAAATCGAGTTTGGGCTCATTACATTTGTCTTAATATATTCTGTTTATTTTATATTAAAGGGGGGTAACAAAAAAGTCTTGCAATAGTGAAACCTTATCGGAAATGGAGAGGATACGTATTCAGTCGCATTAAACTCGTTCTATGTTTTGTAATAAACTAAAAAGAGAAAAATAAATTAATAGTTTAAAAAACTAAAAATACGCTATTCCTGCTCCACCGTAAGAGTGACATCAAATACAGACTTCCTATTTGTATCTCGTGTTAGCAGCAGAGGGATACAATTAATCAGATATCAGGCAATTATATTAAAATTCTTAAATCAAATTGAAAATGTAATCAATTACAGCCGACCTATCTCTGTTTGACTTGAATCAATTGTAAATATGATATGATTATTATGACATTAATATATAGTTGTTGGCTGATTGTTAATTTTGGTGCAAGTAGCCCTAAATTATTTGAGTACACACTGCACAAATTACACTCGTCCGATTGTTGATCACTAAAATGTAAGAAGACGTGACACATTCCTTTAACTTTTTACTATTTATAATTTTATTGTTTACTTCTAAAACTCAGTAAATAAATGCTTTCTTGTCTTATCAAGTACGACTCATCTCTATAGTCCCGTATAAAGTAATGTGTTATGTAATAACTAACTGGACCCCGCGGTTTATCAGGAAATTTTCCCGCACCGTAACCTATTTGTTAATCCAGAGTGTTAGCTAACTCTATACCAAATTTTATTAAAATCGCTCCAGCCATTTAGACGTAAAGAAGTAACAAACATACACATTCACAAACTCACAAACTTTCTTCTTCATAATATTAGTGTGATTCTTTAGATAAACAAAGCTAAGCTTCGTTTATTTTATATAATAATTTAATAAATTAACTATGTATACCTCATTAAATAATAAATCGCACAACTGGCTCAGCGGGCGTGCATATTACTTTTACTATTTTGACACAAAACAATATTTTCATTATTTAACTCGACAAAACCTTAACTTTTTTGGAAAGCTAGTTAGTAAAAAGCAAACGTAAACCAAAGCGCGATGAAACATCTATCAGCGCCATCTATTATAAGTGCCGGCAGTTAAATTTTGTATGAAGCACCGGAAGTGCTAAAGGTGCTTTTGCAAGTTTTTGTGCCCAAACAAATAAACTAATAATAGTCGCAGTAGAAGACACAATATTTTTTTCAATTCCAGTTTGTCGCACAGTCGCTCATGCAAGATCATCCATCGCACGCACCCTCACTGCATTAAATGCCCTCCTAGAAGCCACTCCACTGAATGTGATGTGTTTGCGGATGAATGGAAGAAATAGCTTTCAGTGTGTTTGAGGTTTACAATATAGTTTTGGAGGGGATAATGTATGAGTAGTATTTTATACCTGTTAATTTGTATAAGTGGATTTGATTTCGCTCTGATTAATGTCATAATAAATAAATATATAAATATAAATATTTCCAACATTCACACCAATAAGCCTTGCCCCAAAGTAAACACTGTAGGCACTGTAGGATACTAGGCTAACCGATAGAATACATATTCATACATTACATACACATGTATTTTTAAATCAATATACTTATATAATTATCAATATATATACACATCAACATCTGCCCCCACCGGGATTCGAATCCGGGACCTCTCGAGTAGGCGACACCTTGAAACGTTCATACCACTAACTAAATGAGATCAATCGCATTACCGTACTACTGGCATGGCCGTACACTTTAAATTGTGATAACTTTTGATGGAGTGAACCGATCTTAATGAAATAAAGACTAAATGTTACCCAGAGATACAATCTATTAATATATTTTCAAATCATTACATTTGATTTCATTTAGCAATTTTAGTGTGATGCAATAACAAACATACAGACAAACCGACAGACAAAAGATAAAAATAATATAGAAAAATGTTATACTACTAATTCAAAGACCCCTAAACCATTTTTATTCCAAAAACATTCTATGTCCAGACAGACACGCAAAGCTAACATTATTATTAAATAAATAATAGATATTATAAAGGACATTACAGCTCGATATATGTATTTTTACATGACAATTTGATTGCAATTTAATTTTCTTTGAATAGTTTGACACATAATACATATAAAAGTATAATGCAAAAATCGTTTAAACATACGAATTTATAAATATTATAAAGATATATTTATCTTTGACTGTTACAAACCAAATATTATGTATAATGTGAAGTTTTTAAGGTCAATGTATTTTCAATATTAAGTAAATAGATCATCATTTTTTTTTTCATTAAAAAATATATACATATATATATATTTTCACATACAACCGCAGGCTGTGCGTGAGTCGGCAAGGGTGCGCGTCGAATCAGCCGGAACGCGCGTAGTTCCTCCTTATAAAACGCTGGGCCGCCGCGAGCGCATCAGTTTGTGACCAACTACGGAGACGCGCATTTATACAGTGAGTGTCTTTTTTAAATATTTATTATTATTATCTGTCTATTTACAATAATTAATAATAAGAAATTCCGTGAAGTTATTATCTTTTTCACCGCTAATTAGGACGAAGAGAAACCGAACTAGCTATTTTGTTGTTTTAAGACGTGTTTTTTTAAGTTATTTAGAAGTTCGTTTAATTTTTTGAACTTAATAGGTAAATGGTATGAAACAAAGTTTTATACGAGTGAATAGCTTTACTTTTTTTTGGATTTCGACTTTCTGCTAGCTTTTATTCAGTGAGCAAAAACATAAATAAAATCTAAAGAATTTTTGTTTCTTAGGTTTTCACGCACATCACTCATTAAATAAAACTAGTTTTTACGGGTTAATGCACGAAACTTTATTTATTTATTGACGTTTCGCAGCCTTTTCAGGTCTGCATCGTTATTCTGACGATGCAGACCTGAAAAGGCTGCGAAACGTCAATAAATAAATAGTTTTATCTAAAGAATTTTTATTTAAAAAGCCTAAGTAAGTAATAAAAGCTTTAAAAAAGTTATTGATCAAGCTTATAGGACGGTTTTATAGCGGTTTTAGTACACATATTTATTGATTTTATTTAATAATTTAAAATGTAAGTATATTTAAAATAAAACTTAATTTTTTAAATAAATTCCATTCAACAATATTGTACCAAAGGTCAAACATAAACCCATGACCCACATTCCGAACGGGATGAATGAACCCCGGGGAAGGTCGCTTTCTACCTCCAGACCGGTCCCGTCCCATGGAAAGTGTGTAAACCATAAACACAATCCAAAGATTATAGACTAATCATACAAAAACCTTTTTTTATCACTAGCCGGCTGGCATCGCCGCAGGTGTGATAAAAGGTGTAAATAAACCACGTCAAGTGTGAACTGTGCATGACCAAGCTTATTTAATTCAAGAAGTTTTTATTGACGCGATAAACAATTTTGTTGTGTCTCGTCTCGAGTAGTCTGTGTACTAGGTCAGGGTTAAAGAATTTTATTGAACTTATTTATAGTAACCAAACCTAATGAACTTAGGATTTCGCCGAATGATACATTATGCGTAGGCATAATGTATCATTCGGCGATTCGGCGATCAATCAGTTCTTACAAGACTGTAGAGTCTTGTAGGAACTGGCTTGTTTGGGTTTATGGCCATTAAACTGACTTACAATAGTCTAAGTAACTTTTCTTATCATTTCAAATCTGAATTAGATTCTATTATTTTTCTAAGAGTTTTGAAATAATAAATTAAACAAAACATTCAGTTTAATTAATTTCATAGTATGGACTTAACATGTCTCATACTAGAGACAAACAGCCGGTATTCAGGCGAAAAAAAACACAACGTCATTCAAAATATTTTAATTTATTTAACAACCAAAACCAGTTCAACCGCAAACTTGAATATTATTTTAGTTCTGTGTGATTTTTTCTTATATAATATTAAATGTGAAGTTTAAATATCACAACTTGCCATTAATAGGTCGCTGCGACTTTTTGACGTTACGTAAAAACGCTTCGAAATTGATTGATCCGTTGTTAACTTGGGCGGGTCATTACCATACGTCTCCAAGTTACGTGATTCTTCGCCCATAAACTTGTGTCAGCCTAAACCTGTTGGTAAAAAACAGTTTATTAAGATGAACCATTTTCATTTGATAAAAGAATTGGTATTGTTTTATCAAACCACGATACAAGTGAAACTTTTAAAATAATTAAAATAAAGTTTTTATTTAATCGTGTTCTTATTTTAAATCCCAGCGCGGATTCCGAGGTGAAAGGTGAATTTGTTCTTACAGAATAGTACTACAGATATAATACTTTGTGATAATAGCACTCCTTAGACAAAATTTTACGTAAAGGTTAACCGCTACTTTTACGATGAAAGCCAAAATTGATGAAAGCACATAACACATAACTTATTGTTACAATTACTTTACGTAAGGAAGTACCGCACTATTAAGTTTTTTTTTTATAGTTATTTCTCACTATTCATCTTCTTTATTATCATCTAACTGCGGTATATTAGTACTTACTACATATTAACGGCCGAAGTGTAAGTTGCGCCTCTTTACTACGTGTTTACGTCACAATTAGTATAGAAAATAAATAATTTGGAAATTTAACAAACCTCGACACCCAAAAATAATATATAAAGTGAGAAAATAAAATGTGTTGATCCTTAAAATTTATTTTAACTACTTAGTTATCCCGTCCCGTGTGTCCCGTCTGCTGCCTGGTCCGCGTGGATTTTTTTCCAGTAGATTTTTTTTTAGATTTAAACATCTAACAGTTAAATTGATAAAATATAACTACTTAGTAATTGTAAGATCCAAACATCGAACCGCATTATCTTTCTCCCAACTAAATAAAGAGGAGAAACTTTAATCACCACTGTTTTTCAATAAGTTCGGCTTCGCGTCAAATACCCGTTCATTCTCTGGCGGATACATTCTCCTTCTGAAGGTTTAAATAATTATTAATAACGGTAATTATTAATGGAGTCAAAAAATTACATAGTATAATATTACATAGTATAATATTACATAGTATATATATAGGATTCAAGTTAATAATTAAGTCATAAGATACCTAAGGCATACTTGGAGTAGGTTTATCGAATAAGTAATTATTTTTTTTATAACTAGCCTTCAGCAAAAATTAATAGTAATTGAAACAATTTAATCTAAGCAACAGCTTCATCAGTCACCTATAGGTAAATCTGCCTCAAAAAATATTCATTACATCACCGATATGTGTAAAGAAAAGAAAATATTTGAAAAAAGGGTATTGAAATTCGTATCCTTTGAATCGTATACAAACGATTGGGTAAATAATCTATTTTCGTTTCCTACCTCCTTGGTCACATTCATTGAAAAAAAAAACAAAGCATGCAGATAGCGCTCTCCAGAGAAAAGGGCAGAGCCGCCCCTCAAGAAACCTACTACGATCGTACGATCCTTACCAAAGCACATACCAAAAATACTTCATTCACATAATGGCAATGTCAATTACGCAAATGTTATTACGGTAATGAACCTTTTCGCTTGTGAGTTAACGTTTTCTCCGTCCCCAGACAATGAAGAAGCTGAGCATATTGTTCCTGACCGTTGTGGTTGCGCGAGCGCAATTCCCAAATGGAAGGATTTTAGAGCCACCAGTGCCCTCACAGTGCGTCCAGAGGGTAATACACGAGAGATATGCTGACAGTGAGTAATAATGAGTATTTCTTACCAAATAATAACACACACACCTCATCCAAAAGTAAAGTGCAACAAGTGACACTTGTATTACATAATGAGAAAACAATGGCCGTGATTAACATACTACGTAGACGAACCTCCGAAATTAGAGACAATTTAATCAAATTTTATCTTCTCTCATATAAACTACTAGTTAGTTAACTAGCTATTTTTTAATTATTCTGACTAGATAGTATTAATCAAGTTCAATCTTAGATTAAATCTGTACGTTTAAAACTTAAGATACATCTAAGAGTTCATCATGCTGACTGAGTTCCATGAACTTAAGCAGATAAATTTTCTTTTGACAACACTAAAATAATGGTTTAACCGTTACGGTATAGGTAATTAATTATCACAGTCATTCACATTTTTTTTCAAAGGGAAATTCTTTAATATCACTTTTTAAGTAAGTAATTTATTGTTGAATCGTGGCATAACACAAGTGCGACAGGCACATCGCGATTTTGTTAAAAATAGAGTTAAACCGGTATTTTTAATTCACTCGCTCCCAAATGTATGTACCTATGTGTACCTAATCAATATAAATATTCAACGATCTATTTCACAATAAGTGCTTGCAAAGGGATCGTGGCATTGAATCCAGATATTATAGGTATATCATTTGCTATTCAATAATTCGAATGAGTATCGGATAATCTATAAATTAACCTATTTTGTTTACCATTCTTTATATTATTAGGTAGGTACCTACGGAAAGTTTCTTCGAAGAATTAAAATGCTTAAAATTAAATATATTAATATTTAAAAAAAATATTTAAAACAGGCTAAAGTCCAATAAAACGTACGATACAACTTAAAATAACCTTGTAGTAACCAGTTGAAAAAAACAAAGGTGAATAAACTCTTTTAAATAATCTTGACACATCTTCGCCACTGGACAGTTAGGTATAGCGGTGAACTCTCAATTTAGGTAATAACCATAAAATGACCTCATTCTATACAAAAAATATAAAAAAATATATGACAATCGAAAAACTGAGTAGGATGTGAGGCTACAAACCTTTACAATGCTATCCTATGATAATAAAGTTTTATCTTGAAACCCGTAGGTACCCAGATAAGTAAACAGGAAATTCGAAATATTTGAGAATACAAAACTTTTTAAGATTACTGTTCTCATCATTCTAAGTTTAACTCCAGCAGTAAAAAGATAAAGATATTAAGCCGGCAGCTAGACGTTCAGTTTGTAATGTGGTTCATCAGTATTTATCAAATGTGGTATTTACTGACGGTGTAAGCTAGTTTAATGATGAATGTCAGTATTTATCACGGATTTCTAAATTTCTGAATTCCGGAATGACACCTTGTGTTAAATATTGACATCTGTCAGTATACTACACTAGAAGATCATCATATACCACGGTGTGACAGTACGCATCGCGACAGCAATTGAGGAAGATATGGTGTTTGCTGCGATTCCTGAGGACACGCAGCCACCGCCGGATCAGGCGCTGAGCGCGTCCCAGTCAGACAGCCAGTCAGACAAACGATCAGATTATTTTAATCATGCTCTTTAATTTCAGCCAATAAATTTAAATGAGTATTTTTTTTATCTCTACTGTAGCAAATGTTCTCTTTCTAATCTTTTTTTTAACCAGTGGCTATGATCATAGCCGCACAAGTTTCTCTGTATCCATTTCATGTCTGAACTGCTCCGAATCACGATAATATTGACCTGACAAATATTGAACGTCTAGCTGCCGCCTAACAAAGTGCACGTCATGAACATGATGAATAGTTAAATACCTACCTACTGTTACAATAAAAGAACAGTTGTTATGATATTAAACCAAGTCTTTATAATATGTATTTCTTTTATTAATTACGAATATTTTTAAGCGTCTTTAAAAAGGGAAGAAACAGGCATCTCCTTTACTAATTTCACTCCCATATTTAGGAAGCGTGCCGACGCGATCCGAACCTTTTTTTGTCATTATGAGTCAGGGAGCAGCGCTCCGAATGACGTGGTCTTTCTTGTGATAATTTATTTCGCCACTTAGTATACAGCCCGGATAGCTCAGTCGGTAGAGCATTGGACTTTTAATCCAAGGGTCCAGGGTTCAAGTCCCTGTTCGGGCGGAAAGTATTTTTGTATATGATATTAAAAAGTAAAGGCTATGAAAGTTATAATAGATGAAATTAAAAATACACACCGGTTACGTATAAACTTGTAAAAAAAGGTAAATTTTGGAAACCAAAAAACATGACAATTTCATTATTACTTCTAATAAAAACTGAAAAGAAAAAAACAAGTCCAGTAGTCTTAATAATTTTGTTATGTAAGGAACAAAGATGCTGTAAAAGTTAGGACCCTTTAGATTTTCAAGAATGGATCATTTTTTTCAATAATGGGTAGGTTATTATTATACAATCACCAAAGTTTATAAAATTTTATTTAACTAAAAGCGTAGAAAAAAAAACCGTAGCGTTAGGTATGTCACCATAGCAACCCCATTTATTATCAATTTATCACCCAATGTTTAGATTTACATCTTTGCCGTTCTCTTTTAAAGCGTTCACCACTTACAGATGGCAGGCTTTCTTTCCTTTTTTTGGTAGTCTAAAGCTCGAATAAAGAGCCTATCAATGAGGAGGCTCAATCAGCCTAGTAGGTTTTGCAAATGGTGCAATCATAGCAGTTATTTTCCAAATATTTTTTCTACCCATTAACAAAATAAGAAAAGAAGTATGTAGGAAATAATAAATATGTTTAAATTACCGAACTACTAATCAATGTTTACCAAAATGCTAAGTAACTTTTACAAATATAATCAAATAAATCTATTACTTTTTTTTTAATCTCTTTCAGTAATTAAATATTATTATCCTTACTATAATATTATAAAGAGGCACGAGTCATATGTTTATAACAAATAATCTCTCAAAGTACTGAACCGATTTCGAAAATTGATTCACCATAGGGTAGCTCCAATATTTATTAATATTTTATAAATCTAAAGAAAATTTTTGCTAGAAAGAAATCCACTCTGACACCTCCGAGAGCAAATTTTTCTAGTAAAAATTTGTAGTATTTAGGCTGCTACGTCGCTCTTCATCAGGCGAGTGACTGTCAAGGGTAAGAAGCTATTTAATGTAAAAAAAACATACTTTTTCACCCCAAAAGGGGGTTTATTTCTAAAGATACATTATTAGAACACCTCTACACCATCTTTAGAGCATATATGTTAAATTTCAAGTATCTTACTTCTAAAACAGGACTTTCATACAAACTTCCAACCACGTACACACACACAGGGCGTAATACAGGGTCCTTAGGGGTGGAGTTTCGTGAAATTCGTTCTTAGCGGATATCTACCCTATAAGAAATCTACCTGCTAAATTTTAAGTTTGTAGACGTTACAGTTTCTGACATTTCAGGATTAACCAGGGAGTGGTATTTCGCTGCGACGTCGTATGCGTGAACGCTATACAGCACCAAAAATACCTACGATTATAACTTTTAAAATAACATTCATTTACCCGTTTTGACGTGACAACGTCTTAAATTAGGTTGCGGCTGGGAGTCACTTATGAAAAAGTGTAACGCTCGGTAACGTTACGATGAGTTTAAGTTTACATGTACAATGTTTTAGTAAACAAAATATATTTCTATAGTTAAAATTTGTGCAATTCTTATTTTCATTCAATTCCTTGTTCCTATTGTGCAATTTAATTATATTCATATCAATAAATATTCTACCGAGAAAAAGACGTTGTCACGTAAAATCTTCGCCCGTAAAACCGACTTTACAGGCAACCATTTTTTTCTTTACATTTCATATCTACATACAGTGCAGTAACAGAGGGAGACTGTCTTTTGTAAAATTGACCTTCAAAAAGTGCGGATTTTCAGCCTGCTTTGAATAAATGACTTTATGGTGATTCTGCTGAATTAAGTCATAAGTTGTGACTGAAGCAGATGGAGAAAATAAGGAATACAGAATAGGGTAAAAATACATACTTTTAGGACATCTCGATACACAACATTAGTGGTTTGACTCTCCACATCCAAAATGTAAAGAGTCCAGTCCTGACTACTGGTGACGCGGGCGGGAGCAAGCGACATACACAATTTTTTAAAGAAGAAAATGCGCAACTCCTTCTATGACTTTCAAAAAGAACTATTGACCTCGCCCACATGATCAGATTTAAATTATTTATATCCAAAAAGTGCTTACACATGTAATTCAACTTGATGTTTTTGAAGTCTCATAGATTTATTTATATCCAAAAAGTGCTTAGACATGTAATTTGACTTCATCTTTTTGAAATCTCATAGATGGCGCTGCTTTAAAATTGTCTATTATGTTTATCGGCATAAGTTACTTATAGTGTGAAGCTAGCTTAAAGCATGGTTGACAAAATAACAACATTGAAATATGTGTCGTTAAATTACACGTTGTTACAGAATGCATTGAAGAAATAAATGTTCACTGCTCGTGATAGTGATAGCGTGATAATATGTAGCCTATATGTTGACCCGACTTCTTATTAATATACGTGCCAAATTTGAAGTAGTCCATGCAGTACTTTTTGAGTTTATCCCGGACGTACATACCGACAAACAGACAAAAATCTAAAAACTACATTTTTGGCTTCGGTATCGATTGTAGATCACACCCCAAGTGTTTATTACCTTATTAGTATTCTTTTAAAAAAATATTCAATGTACAGTTTTGACTTTCCTACCATTTTATTATATTGTTAAGTTACATTATAATCCATTCAGTATTTTTTGGGTGAAAGAGTAACAAAGATTGAAATCAATAGTGGTTATTATACAACTTTAAACTCGTTGTAGATCGTAAACAGTCACAGAAAATGGAAAATGGTGTGAAGAACCTAAACATGATTTTCGATTATCTAGACAACGAACCCCACTCGATATATTTCGGCAACTTATTTTTTTCTCACAATATGGCGGCTAAATTGTCATCATATTT